TGTAAATGTTCGCCATCAGATACTGTGTGAGCCGGCGAGGCCATGACCGAGAAGAATATTTTGCCCTCAACATTTAACAGCGAAATGGTCCTGAATTGGGAAAGACTCTTCGAGTCCTGCTCTTTGGGAATGTAGACCCCGTTCGCCTTTTGCCACTCTGGACATATGTTTTTTCGGCTCCACGCTTGTCTCAACAAGCCGTGAAGCATTCGTAGGATTTTCGGACAACGCTTGTAAAGAACGTACGTAACACCATTCAGACCTGGAGCAGACTTGCCGCTGGCTCTTTTCACAATTTCCTCAACCTCAGACCAAAGGGGAGGTATCACTTTAAATGATACCTTCGGCAACTCATGCTGCTTAAGGCCGCTAAGAACCGCTTGACTGTTATCGAGAGGCTCATTCCTCTTTTTGTCAGAGTACATTTTGCGTAGATGTGACTCAAGCTCCTCTTTACTGACCCCCAGAGTCCCAGACTTCGGTTGCTCGAATAGACCTAGGGCAAACTGGAACCGGTCCCTAAAGAATTTCTCTCGCTCCCTTTTGGTTCTTCTCCTGTTGTTACAGAAACGCTCAGCGCGACAGAGGGCACTGTGTCTGTTCTTTAAATACAACCAAACTTCATGCAGTCCCTCCCTTTCGCTGCCTGTAGCGGCTTTGAACCGTTTACTGAGGGCATTCTTGTCTGCCCAACACTTCAGAATGTCCCTCTGTCTCCTGCTAGTATTCTGCTTGTCACCCGGCGGCGCCTTTTCCACTGCCGCGAACTCACGGGAACAGTACTCATATATTACATCACCAAACTTTGTAAGCTTGTCGCCTAACGACTTCTTTTTTAAATCATGAATTAGTTTCTCACATAATGTACTCTCTAACTTGCACCACGACACCTTATCGCTCGCAGGTGAAAACTTGATCTTGGAACGCACTTCCTCGGAAATTATCAAATGTGCGCTTCCGCAGTCAACGTCATGGGCCTCTCCGGGCGAGTGAAGTCAACCAACTCACGCCAAGTCGTTCTATCCTTCGCCATTCCATGGAGCTCTCCCCATGTCCTCCCCATCTTTCTAACTTCATTATCCAGCTCTCTTCTCCCCGTGTTTTTTGGCCTTCCTTTATTCCTATGCCCCTGTGGGTTCCAATGCAAAGACATTCTGGTTATGCTGTTCTCCTGTTTTCTCAGTGTGTGTCCTATCCAACGCCAGCGTCTTTTCCTCACCTCTTGGTCCACTGGAGCCTGTTTAGTTCTCTCCCAAAGTTCTACATTAGTTATTCTATCACACCATTTTATTCCCTCTATTCTGCGCAGGCACCAGTTAATGAATGTCTGTAATTTATTAGTAATTGCCTTGGTTGTTCTCCATGTTTCCTTCCCATACAATAGTACTGATTTGACATTAGAATTAAAATTTTTTAGTTTAGTATTTCTTCTAATTTCTTTTGACCTCCACAAATTCCCTAGTGCTATGAAAGCCCCGCTTGCCTTTTGTATTCTTATTTTAATATCTCTATCAGTTCCTCCATCTTTATCTACATTACTGCCCAAATAGGTGTACGACTCCACGTCTTTGAGTGGGGTGCCATTAAGAGAAACCACACTACTATTTGCCTGATTTATTCTCATTATCTTTGTCTTTCCTTTATGGATTTTCAGACCAAGCTGCTGTGATCACGCATCAAGTATATTTAATTTATCTTGCATCTGATTTCGTGAATGGGACAGAAAAGCAATATTATCTCAGGCTGTTTTGTAGGGGTCCACTGAATTCCATTCTTTGTGTTAGCAGTTACTGTTTTCATAGTCCAGTCTATAACCAGTAAAAATAAGAGAGGCGACAAAAGACATCCCTGTCGCACACCTGTTTTTATTTCAAATGCATCTGTTAGCTTTCCCTCATAAAGAACTCGACATTTCATGTCTTTATATGTTGCCTTTACTAAGTTGATAATTTTCTGTTGGATTCCATAGTGCCCCATCAATTTCCAGAGAGATTCTCTATCAATGCTGTCAAATTCTTTTTCATAGTCTATAAATCCAATGTAAAGTGGTGAGTTCAGTTCAATGCTTTGCTCTATTATAATACGTAATGTGGCTTTCTGGTCAGTACAGGATTTGTTTGACCGAAAACCTGCCTGTTCATCTCTTAGCATTTTATCAATAGCATCTTTTAGTCTTTCCAAAATAATTCTACTTAATATTTTTTCCAGGACTGGTGTTTCAGTATTTGTTCATGGTGTTGCCGTTTGATTTATCATATCTGTTTCAATGTTTGTCCTGAAAGTTCTTGCTTAAAAAATATTCATGTTTTAATGTTTGTCATGAAAGTTCCTGCTTAAACAAACTCTCTGTTTCACTTTACACCCTGAAATTTCTTGCGTAAAGAAATGTTCTATGTATTTCTATGTTTGTCCTTAATGCCCACGCTTTAAGTAGCCTTATGTTACAGTGTTTCTGAATATTTTATGAGGCAAATTCATGTTCTGTATATTGTTCTAAATTTCAATTTTATATCTTCGAAGGCGAATACCGAGCCAACAGATGTCGCGAGTCCTCTCACTGTATCCCTTGTTGGGTGCGCTACTCCAGCTGTAAAGGGTTAAGTGAGGGTTTGAATCCCTGGAAAGGTATGGAATGGCAACCGTTCTTTGTCGAATGTCACAAGGAAAGAACCGTCTTTCAGGTAAATCACCAGACAGCTGAATAGATCTTTACTTTTTGGCAACATATCTAGATATCTGTTGTTGCTGTTTACGTATGCGATTGTTTTTGTGTGTCCTAGTGCAATATTCCCTTGTCGGTCATCGCTGGTCATGCGTATGACTCCTCTTAGAGGTGCGGATATATTTGATCTAAACTTACCTTAAATGGATACCAGGAAATTCAATCCGAAATAAAGGTGACGGTGGTGATATTGGCAAAATCCCACGTTGAATACTGAATGGAAAAATTATAATTCTAGAATCTTTCGGTGATGAAGTCATAAAAGAAACAGTCCCATCACGTAAACTTAATCCCAATGGCATACAGTAGAATAGTAAATACGTTAAGCCGCCAATTATTGTGTGACTGTTATTAACATGTTTATTATTATTATTATTATTATTATTATTATTATATTCTTTAGGTTTTTGCCTGGACAGACATATACACTTAATAAATGTTAAAAAAGTAATTAAAGCAAGTATTTACACAATTGTTTACAAAACACTCGGGGCGTCACCTAGTGGCGTATATCTAGTAAATAACACTACCATCTGGAAAGAAGGAAAGGTGCCACTCTAGTGAAAGAATGCAAGTTAACCCTTCCATCTCAGCATACAAACAACAAGTGTGGATTTTACTCCAGACATTGTCCACCTAGAAAATACAGCAGGTGTGTTTTCATTTATATCTTGATGCAGGCAGTTTGCATGTGAAAATAAGTCCACGATGCCCTCGTTATAACCCACTTCTGAACAGGTGAACTATGTAAATATGTGGATAACATTTTATCCACATATTTGCATACTACTGGCCATTTTCAAGAAAAGTGTCAATAAATGGATTGACTGTTGTTTTTCATAGAACTAATCAAATTCATTCATTCATTCATTTATTCATTGTCCTATCTGGTGAGCCATCATGTGTCACATAGAGCTCATAGTTTATTTCTCACGCACACACATAATACAGACAGACAGACAGACAGACAGACAGACAGACAGACAGACAGACAGACAGACAGACAGACAGACAGACAGACAGACAGACAGACAGACAGACAGACAGACAGACAGAACACACACACACACATACACACATACACACATACACACATACACACATCACATCACACATACATACATACATACATACATACCTACCATACATACATACATACACATACACATACCATACACACGCATAACGCACGCGCATACATACATACATACACACACATACACACACATACACATACATTCATACACATACATACATACACATACATACACACATACACATACATACATACATACATACATACATACATACATACATACATACATACACATACATACATACATACATACATACATACATACATACATACATACACATACATACATACACATACATACATACATACATACATACATACATACATACATACATACATACATACATACATACATACATACATACATACATACATCATACATACATACATCCATCATACATACCATACATCATACATACATACATACACACATACATACAGACATACATACATACACACATACAGACAGACAGACAGACACAGACAGACAGACAGACAGACATACAGACAGACAGACAGACAGACAGACAGACAGACAGACAGACAGACAGACAGACAGACAGACAGACAGACAGACAGACAGACAGACAGACAGACAGACAGACAGACAGACAGACAGACAGACAGACAGACAGACAGACAGACAGACAGACAGACAGACAGACAGACAGACAGACAGACAGACAGACAGACACATACACACACATAAATACGTACAGACACATATACACATACAATATGACAGCTTTAATGTGAAAATGCGAGCCAGAGATAATGAAGATCCTTCTCTAGCTACTAACTGTAATCCCAGAAACAGACTATTTCTCTGCTCTATGATCTAAATCTATCTACTAGTGCTAATCCAGTAAATAGACTGTGCCGCCACTGTTAGACCTAAAGAAGTACAGAAGCGAAGCAAGAAGGTGCGAGTGTGACTACTTCGTTGTAAAAGAAGTTAATGCGACGAACTGTTTTTCCTTGGCAATGTGAAGAGGGTGACGAAGTGATAATAATATTTGTTTAAATATTTTTGGCAACAGTCATTGTTAGTCGCCTAATATATAGCATGTCTTTTCTTATGCTAATTTCTAGGGTCAGTGTCAATCCAGCGCAGTCTTCTCCCCAATCACCAGAGCTTGCGAAACACCAATGAGCATCCCAAGCGAACACGGCGGATGGAAGCCGGGATGTCTTGGACGCCGAGACGGCCTGTACCCAGATGAGCTGGGACGTTGCGATTTGTACTTTCTTTGTCAGGGACAATTATTTAGAGGTTTTCACAGCTGTAAAAACGGGCTGAAGTTTAATCCCGCAACATCTAGTTGTGACGTCGCCGCAAATGTTCCATTTCCTTGTGGGGATAGAACTGAGGGTACGGGAATGTGCGAGAGCAAAGCTGACGGAAACTATCTGGACGTGTACGGAAGGTGCAACCACTACTTCACTTGTAGAAATCAGTCAATGGCGGGACTTCACGTCTGTTCAGCTGGGGTGTTTAATGTGTTCACGGGTCGTTGCGATGCGAAAGCTCGGATAAGATCTTATATTGCCCGACCGTGTGGCGAGGCAGAAAATGAGTGTTTCAGTAAGGCAGATGGTCAGTATGAAGAACATCGAATCGACTCAAGAGTGAAGTGTCATAAAAGTGTGGTTTGTGAGAACGGTTTGGTTATCGCTTCACGTTATACCTGTAAGTCTTCGACACTACATGCCTCGAATGGGACTTCTCACTAATTATCTTTGCAATTTAGTTATGCTATTGCCTTAAAAAAAAAGTAAAAGTAAACGACTCTGTTCAGGTATTTGGCGCATTCGACTCACAGTAGAGAAAGTAAAGATCTCTTTTCACGCCTCTAGGCGTATCGGGCGTATGTGGAGAGCCCATATATTTTTACAGACCTATCGCCACTAGGTGGGTAATGTGGTCAGCATTACGTCAGCCGTCTTTACTTCCCTAGAACAGCCATTCTGTTACCGATTTTAGGCTGAGTCGACCTGCGACGCAACATATGATAAAAATCCACGCAGAATGAGTGGGTTTCGATCGCGGGGCTTTGGAATTACGAGTCGGACACGCAACGCCTAAGCCACAGACACCGCACTCGACACACAGTGCTAGATCTATATTGTTTATAGATCAATCAGCTCTCGGGGTTTAACATCACGTTGGCCGCTTCTACTTCACAGGAATGTACTTGATGGGAACTGCCGTGGTGTAGCGGCTAGATGCTCGCTTGCGGGTGCGAAGCTCGTGGGTTCAGGTCCTGACGGAGCTGGACTTTATACAAAAATGACTTTGGCTGACAGGTCGACCTTAAGTAGCTAGCAGGTAAAAACCTGGGAAGTAAAGGCAGACGGCGTAAGGTTAACCATATCATCCACCACTGGTCTATAAAATATAAGTCTAGCCTTATATGCCAAATACGCCTGACGGCGTGGAAAAGGATCTTTTATTTTACATTACTTGGTATCCATTTTAGGTTGGGTTGATCTAGCAAAAAAGGTCAAGTTTGAAAAAAAAAAATCATCATCAATGCAGATTTGAACCCTTGACCTTCGTCTAACCGCTTCACTACCGCCGTAATGGTAGTGTTTGTGCCATAAATGTGCTAGTGCCAGTGCGATCTCCTTAACCTCTAAGAACTGTCACAGCGCTGACCATAGTATTTGTGAGACGTATGCGTGCGAGCGCACCTGTACCTGTGTGTTATGTTATTACTGCTTCTTTTATGGCGTGGGTACGGGTCCTCAGGTGGACAAAAAAAATCTGGGAGAAATGTGGCTTTTAAGGACACTCTTGAAAATTATTAATCAAATCTGTTGACCGCGTAGTTTTAGCTAACAACGCTACAGCCGGCACGTACAGTCTTCACACATGGTCCATCAACCAGCGAGGGTGTGGGTGTTGAGCTTGCTGATAAACGGAGGCAGACTAGAGAGGACCACGCGGCAAATCCCGGCTTCACCTTTGCACTACCAAACGCTCAAGAACTTCTATGGCTCACATTGGACTCGTCAGCCATTTTCGTATTCACTGCCGTTGACCATTGCTATTTTTGGATGCCTAGTTTCTTCGCCACTTGTGATGGCCAAACAACACTTAATGCATAGCGGTGCAGATTCGAACCTTAAACCTTTAGGTCGAGGGGCAGCGTAGGCAGTTCACCACTGTGGCTTGTCAAACGGCGTTTACTTCTGGGAACATTTTCTTGTTAGCCATTTTAGATTTGGTCGGTTTGGGATTTGAGGTCAACGAAAAGAGAAACAGACAAACAAACAAAATTCGAATTATGATTGCGCTATTGATCAGAATGATTACAGTAGTGATCTTTATGTTTGTACGTGAATGCACATGAGAGAGAGAGAGAGAGAGTGAGAGAGAGAGAGAGAGAGAGAGAGAGAGAGAGAGAGACGAGAGACAGAGAGAGAGAGAGAGAGAATATGTGGGTAGATAATTAAATGTAAGTGTGTTTTCAATTGCTGCAGTTTCTCTGTTTCGATGCTTTTGCTAAATGCCTGTCTCATGTATATTTTTTCTACACTTATTTCGATTTGTATATACGTTTATACCGCACACATTAATACTGATACATTTGTATTACAACTGTACATACACAATTTATAATTTTTATATACATATGTGAACTTTGTATACGTTCTTAATTTCCGATGATTTTTATTTTGTCTTAAAAATCAGAATGATCATTACTGTTGCACTTTGCCATGTTACATACTTTGTTTTAAATGACTAATGATTTCATTTAGCCTTTATTACGTAGCTGTTTGCTGCTGAAGGCTATAAAACCGCAACGCCTAATTTGTCATTTGTGATTGTGGTTAAAAGGGATTGGTTGCACTTAAAAAAAAATCCGATTTACTAATTATCACAAACCCCTTTGCGTCCACACAAATGAACGGCAATGAATCTAACTAAGCAGTAAAGTTCACTTTTCAAGAGGATTCACAAACAACAAATTCACGAATTTGCCACTATAGCTGATTTTTTCTCTCCACGCCCCCCCCCCCCCCCACAAAAAAACATCCTCCTCATAAAAGTGATTGTCATTGTTAAATGATCAAATTCACACCCCGCTGAAACTCTCCGACATCTCCACCTGCCCAAAGTCAACTGTAAACGAACACCAAAGATACGACAACTCTGACTTGTTGCAACGTTTTGTTGTTTTTCGACTTATGTGACAGGTTCTGTTTACAAACTGACACTTGATAACAAGAAGACTGTTTAGATACAAGACAGTGTCTGTGTGTCAACAGACAACAGGGCATTATGTTGATCAATGCTTGAGATTGTGTCCCATTTTCGCCTTAACAAATTAGCTTCTAAAATTAGGACGAGTTTCTAACAGTTTGTCAACTGACCACACTGCGCCATTAACATTTTATGTTATTTTTATCCTAGTGGGTTGTGTATTTTCGCGCCTGACATTTACAGTTTTAGTAACAGCGTACTTCATGTCACTTATGTCCTCCAATGAACGTAAAATTGTGACAACAGAGATAAATGCCTTAGAAGAGCTGCGGAAGTTTTAAGGAAGGACTGAATACAAAATCACGAAATCAGACGAATGCTAGGAATAAAGCCAGTCTTACATGTCATCAAAGAACAACAAGTGAAGTGGTCTGATACCTAACAACATGCCCTGCTTCTATCTACCACAGCGAGCCACACTAAAACCTTACAACGGGTATAGAGGGAGTGGAAGACATTAGAAAAATGGAGTGATGGTATTAAGAACAGCCTTACAGAAATGAACTTCAATCTTAATAGTGCTCTTGACAGAGCTCATCTACGAATGTTAAATCTCCCCCCGACACTTCGCTAAGGTACAAGGTGAGAAGAAAAAGAATATACTTCTTGGGGGAAATCTGGAGAAATAAGGTTGTACACAACTTGGAAGACACCAGGGTGAAAAGAAAATTTTTATTTTCATGGTTATCTTATAGAAAACAAAAACTGTTCAACACAATATTCTTACCAACGCTATGCTATCAGTGTCAAACATGTACACTGTCCCATAAGTGTCCGTGCTACTTCTGACTCAAGAGTGGATCAGGAGAATCTCAGCGCAGTGCACGAACTCTGTAGCACCGGCGAGGATCCTGAAATACTTTGGGTAGATTTATAACTTAAAATTTTGCCCGAGCAACACCGTTAGGCTACGCTTTTTCGATTTCCAACTGTCGAGGGATTTTTTACGTGCACAACAATACACACGAGCGTCCGATCTTACTGCATAGAGACCAGGGGCGAACTCCTAGAAGTTCAGGTGAAAAAATCCCAGTCTTCCTGGGGCTTGAACTCGGGACCGCCAGCACTCGAGGCGAATGCCATGCCTGGAGACCACGCAGCTCCCAATTACTGAACTTTATTGGTAGACAAAAAAACCAAGTGGGGTTGGCCATGTAACAAGACTGGCATCAGACAGGTCACCACAGAGAGCAATTTTATACATATACAGCGGTAACAGAGTCAGAGGTCGACAACGCAGACAAACATCTCTTGTTGCCCTGACGCCGCGAGGCATTCCAAGAGTAGCGAAATGAAGAAGAAAAAAGAAGCATCTTGTAGCAAACGGTTTTACAATTATTCTCCTGTCCCGTCTTGTACAGTCCAGTGTAGTTCTCGTGTCACCCCCCCCCCCTTTCCCCCTTTTCGAAGCTTCAATCAAGGTCTTTTTAGATTATTCCTCTGGATCTCTAATTTTCTTTTCCGTGTGTTGAGTTCGCCTTTAACTCTTTTAGTCCCAGGTTGGATGCTACTTGATCACATTACATCCTAAGAATGTATTATTTAACCAATAAAAATCTGAGTCTGAAGCAGATAAAATAAAACCACGGGAAAGAGGGACATAAAGCAACAATTGAGGCAGAGTGGTTAACTTAATTACTGTATGGGAGACCAAGGGTTAAGAATAGAATATAATGATGAGTTGCTTATGACCGAATGAGTTAAAAGTGGGGCTAGCACGCTGTTTTATAGTTGACAACTAGGCAGTGTAATCTGCGCCTTTTAGTCCAACATACCTGATTTCAGGTAATCGGGTAATTGCAGCTTCAACTTCATAGATAATGGGCCACCGCCTAGTTGCCCCCTTCCTGTGCCAGGGAAATCCATACAGAATGTATATCACTCTTTCTTGTGGAAAAAAAATTAATACAGTTTGCATTCTCGCTAAAGCCAATAGCATGCGAATGTAATAAATGCACAAGGCAGCAGTCATAAATACCAAAAAACAGTTTGGCACTAGAAATACAGTTCATTGTAGAAGGGAGCAGAAGCTACATCTGATCAGTAGTTGCACCCACAATTATGAACATAAGGTACTCAGTTCTCTGGCAACAAACTACTCCCCATTTTTTTTTTATGTGCCGTTCAACACAAACCACGTTGTTCAAAGCAAAAAAAACTTATCCTATCAGTCTAGATATGGAGGAAAATATTGTTAGAAGCAACAACAACAACAACAAAA